TACCTGTTAATAAGTAACTCCTTACTACCCACTTGTATGTCAGTAAATGTATGATTTTAGACTTCTAGTTTTATATTTATTTACGTACATCGCACTGTTTAGAACTTTTATCATTTTTTAAACTTTTATCATGTAAATTTTTAAACTTTAAGCTTCAACATAATTGTTTCAGTTAGTGATTTTAGTCAAAGAGGACCCTGTAAGTCACTGGTTTAAGTGAAGCAGGCATCCTCAATAAACATCGTCATCCACTCAAGCAAAGAATTGTGGATTTCGTTTTCAACGTCATCATTTATGGATCATCAGTGGCAGTAAGTCACTTCTTAAGGCCTTTGTTTCTACAATAGCGTTCGTGGTTTTAAACAGAGCCTCAAAAAAGCAGTTGCATACTTTCAGCCTTTACAAACGAAAGATAATGTCCATTGGGATTTCTTAACATTTTGGTATAGTGAGGAGGGATAAGTAACCGAAAAACCCTCCTTGTTAATTTTCAGGAACTTATTGGGTTTCCCAGGTGGGACAGATCTTTTAGGAGAGGAGAGAGGAAGCGGCACCACCGTATGGGAGACAGTTTTGGCGACACATGGTCAGTATCCTCCTGTAAACCAGTGTCTCCAAGATGTTGCAAAGTCTGAAAAAAGAAGCGGTGATTGTTGTCCTTAAAAAATTCCGCAATAAATGTTTATTTTTACAAAACTTTCAACAACTGTTTCAGAATGCTCCAGAGCTGATGAATCTGACGATTTCGAATGTCTAAAAAAAGTGTATAACAAGCATGTAAAACACAGAATACACATTTTTGGAATAACCAGAATGTAATGGTAATTTGAGACCAAGTGTACGTCATGTCCATTTGCAATTGCCTCTTACAATAAAAGAAAAGCTTCATGTAACAGAGAAACTCAACTTTGCAGGCATGTACAAAGGATTTTTTAGGGGGGTGCTATTCAACAAGGAGACAGACCAAACGAGGCCGGAGGTGCAACTCTCTAGGGGTAAAATTGAATTGTCAGAGATTACATTAAGAATATGGATATTTTTCAATTTTTTGTTTGAACTTCCATCTGATTCCTTAAGCTTTTTTCAGTTTTTTTTGCAACGACTACGTACGTTTACAATTTTTGAGAATGGAAGATGTCAATGTCACTAAAAAGAAAGAAAGAACAATTTCATATCTTGGCATAGTACAATTGTAATTAATTAGAACTTGTCATGGAATGATCACATTGAACACATTTGCAGGAAGATTAATAGGAATCTGGGTCTCCCGAGACCGATTAAAGCTTATTTAACTCGTAGGGCTAGGTTGACCTTTTTCACTGGCTTTGGTTTACCACATTTTGATTATCGAAACATCATCGGGGGTGACCATGGAAAGTCAACATTAGCAAGTGCTTTAGAATGAAGCTGCCCATATTATTTGAGATCTCCCCCTACGCACATCTTCTAATGACACTGTAGCAAAATTACATTGGGAACCACTAATGCACAGAAGAACCGTGCACCGCCCTGTTTTTTGTTTATAAATCAATATAATCTTTCTTCTTGTTATGAGGTAGTTGCCTTTAGTTTTGTTCTTCAGTTTTGCTGTTTTTTAAGATTTTGCTAGCTTCGTGATAAACAGTTTATAGACTTTTATAGACTTAGAGATTCAATGTATTTCCCCACATGTTTAGTTCCTGAGTTTTTGTCTAGTATTATCCATTTGAAGTGTTTGTTAAACTTAGTTTTGGTTCTTTGAAGTAGGCTTGTTTGGGGAGTACTGCTGACCTTCAGTTTTATCCACAATTGAGTCCCTGTTTTGCATGTTGTGTCCTTCTGGGCGGTTTCACTGTTAGCATTTAACTGGTTCTTTGGTACTTGTCGATTGCGGCTGTGTAGGTTTATCTAACTATAGCAAACCTGTTGCGATATAGGCGATAAGGTATTCAATACAAACTCTTCCGGTCAGCTAACTTAAAGTAAGTCTACAATTTGGTTATTTTATTCGCTGTGTAAGCTAGTAGAGTAGTAGAGTTGTTGTCAGTAGCTGCATTCAGTGGTATCCAAAGTCAGATGATCTCACTCCAGTGGACTTGCATCACGAATCCCTGACCATCCAACCACCTATTAAGATTAACCGTTTGCTGATTGATAATTTTATGAGTTGTTTCAGTGTTACGATGCCCAGCTTAGTTGTACTTTGCAGAAGGCAGACAGTTTTATTGATCAGATAGAAGAAACTACTATTTCCAATTATGTTGAGTACATTGCTTTCATTGCACTAGGTCTTTCAGTGACCAATTGCATCGTCTTTCGTATTGTTTGCCGATGCATCTTCAGGATATTTGGACATCGAGCTGCACATACACCTCCTCCTCCCTTGCAAGCACCCGCTTCTAACAACCTCCAGCGCAAGGTATGTGGCCATTGTTCCAAACCCGTAAAGAACAATCGTCGTAAAAACGATGCAAGTAAACAGTGTTGTGACCCACAACGATTTGGAGCAAAGGAGCAGTAGCAAGACTTTTCCGGACAAGATATTCCAAGCTTAAAGAAAAAGGAACTGAACTCTATTTAGCTGTCACGTTTTTAATCTACCGATGATGTATTACCGGATTACCCTGACTTTGGTTAATGTTTTGCGGTTTTTAGACGAAATTGGGGCTACTCAGCTTCAGTTAGTGGTCGCTTCGCGTCATTTAACTAATGAGTGTGACAGTCGTTCTTCAAGGCAAACAACATCTGTCTTTCATATAAATCACTCCTTTTCATAGCAATCTACTGATTTGTTTTTAGGGTTGTTTTCTGGTTTTGGTCGATCGCTGAATTGGGAAGTACATAACCTTGTCGAGTTCGTGCATATTTGTCATTATTTCATGATTTACGAGCGCTGTGTCAGTGACATTTTTCGCGCAACTTTTCCGCAAAATTACTGTCGTTCATTTCTAGAGAATCAATTCTGCGAATTGCTGTTTGTTTTCACTTAGAAAACATCCAGTTACCTTTTTGTAGCTCGTAACCTATGGCTTTCGTGTCACAAGAGTATGAAGAAATTTCTATTTTTGAAGACCTATTGTTAGCTCATAGTTCAGCTAATTTCCAGCAGTTTGTCAGCAATCGTTTACCAGAGTTAGGGCAGAATTGACTGTTATGTCACGTCGCATTATTATAGTTTTGTTATTGCAATGTCTTTGTACTTATAGGTACTATGGATCTTGACTGGCAACGCATCCGCCACATGGCAAAATGGGTTTGCATTTTCTGTTTTGAGATGAAGGGTGCCGCCATATTTGATTGGACAGTTTTACGCTGTGATCATATTGTATGTATCAAATGCTTTAAGAAGAATGCTGACTTTCTGAAGACTATGTGCACTTGCCACTGTGGGGCGACGTTTCCAGAAAGCGCGTAAGAGCATATTGTCACGAATACTCAGTGGGAAAGTGGCAGCCGGAGACGTATAAACTCTTTTCTCTCCGTTTTGAGACATGTTCTTTTTTTTTTCTACAGTACTTAATTGACGTAAAATCCTAAAGAAGTGTATCCGTTTTCTCCTGTCTGCATCAAGGACAATGCTCAGTTTAAGCGGGGAGGAATGTTATGAGGTAGTTGCCTTTAGTTTTGTTTTTCAGTTTTGCTATTTTTTAAGATTTTGCCAGCTTCGTGATAAACAGTTTATAGACTTTCATAGAATTAAAGACTTAGAGATTCAATTTATTTCCCCACATGGTTAGTTCCTGAGTTTTTGTCTAGTATTATCCATTTAAAGTGTTTGTTAAACTTAGTTTTGATTCTTTGAAGTAGGCTTGTTTGTTTACAGTTTGGTTATTTAATTCGCTGTGTAAGCTAGTAGAGTACTAGAGTTGTTGTCAGTGGCTGCGTATTGTTGAAGATTAAACTGCTAGTTTAAAGAGAACGAACAGTCTTGGTCCTCTCGTTGTAAAGCCAAGCGAGCTTCACAAGCCCTCACCAAAGTTTTAATCGCGATTTGCATTATTATAATACCTGATCTTGGAATAATGTTACGAAAACCACAGCCAAAGTAAGGTGGTGTCATTGGACCAGTAACACCTTTGCTGCAAATGAGTGGAATTCTCTTGATCTGTCACTTAGGGAAGCCGCCTCTTTATCCAATTTTAAACGAAACCCTTCCCAAGTGACTTTAAAATATTACACTCATTCATAAGGATGGTGATCGAGAGCCAGTAGAAAATTATAGAGCCATTTCACTCTTAACTATCTCTGGGAAATGCCAGGAGAGAATTGTGTACAATGATATTTATGATCAAGTTATTAGATTCATACATGATTCTCATCACGGGTTCCTCACTGGTCGTTCCTGCACTACTCAACTACTCTTAGTACATCATGATTGGTTCAAAGTCTTGGACAAGAGAGGTCAAGTTGATGTAGTATTTATAGGCTTTTCAAAGGCTTTTGACCTTGTCTATCATAATATTCTACTAACCAAACTTTACAAATATGGTGTCCATGAAGACTTGCTAAATTGGTGTAGAGATTATTTAACAGAACGTCAACAGCGTGTTGTAGTGAAAGCAGAGGCTTCCGACTGGTTAACCGTAACCTCTGGTGTCCCACAAGGTTCTTTGTTGGGACCATTATTCTTCATAGTCTACATCAACGATTTACTGGGGGTAATTAATAAGGACAGTTCAATTACTCTGTATGCTGATGACAGCAAAATGTATAGGGTTATTAGTACTCAAGAAGATCTGTCAACTTTTCAAAGTGACATAGACAAAATTTCAGATTAGTCTAAGATGAATAAGATGAGAATTAATACCAAGAAATGTAAGATCATGCGAATAACCAAAAAAAAAGTCACCCTTAGTTGGGGAGTATAATATTGAAGGTCAACCTTTGGAAAGTGTTGATGTGTATAAAGATTTAGGATCATTACTGCTAGTAATCTTTAATGGAACCAACACGTAGATAAAATAACTGCTAAGGCTAATAGGGTTTTAGGGTTGGTTAAGAGGACTTGTAGGGACTTAAAGGATATTGATACCATGAACACACTTTATTGTAGTCTTGTGAGACCTTTATTAGAATATTCATGCAAAACTTGGAACCCTCATACTAAACGTAATATTGATAGACTGGAGGTTGTTCAGCGAAGAGCACCAGATGGATCACTAGGTCTGATGATGATTATGATACTAGACTATCTAAGCTAAAATTGTTGTCATTATCTAATAGGAGGTTCACTAGAGATGTTAAATTTTTTTTAATGTAATTAATGGACCTTATGATATTGACATTTCAAATACGCTCATATTTTGTAAGGACAGAAATACAGGTTATAACTTGAGGAAAAATGACACACAGGACCTTGTTCCAAATTTAAGTAGAACTGATGGTTTTAAATATAGTTTTTTTAACCGTGTTGTAGATGAATGGAATGGTTTACCCAATCATATTAGAGAATCAAACAGTATTGCAACTTTTAAAAGAAATGTTTTAGGCTTTATTAAGGATAACTAGAACATTTATATTTCTATTTGTATATATTTTTCTTATATGTTAATTAATGGGGGCATCCCTAGTATGGCGCATTAGTGCTTTTGGTTGTCTCCTTCTACACAACTTTTTTTTTCTTTCTTTTTTCTTATAGTAGTGTTAGCTTATTTCATTTCATTAAAGTTTATGTTTTAAGCCGTCGGTTTCCCGGTGTTGGCTGTTTTCAAAGTTGAACTCACGAAAAGAAAATCGTTCAAAGCTTTCTTTCTACAGCCAAAATTATAACTAAATATTCTTCGGAAAGTGTTTTCTTTCTATTTAAGGTGAATTAATAGAGACTAAAGGCTTTTTAAAGTTCTGTAAGCTCAAGCCTATATCAAACCTCATACGAGGTCAGATCAGTGTCTCAGTCAAATCTTAATACAAACGTGCATAAACTAGCTTCATAAACTGCACAGCTGGACTTCATGAAATTAGATTAAATACAATAATTACTCAGGCTTACCATATTTCGAGATGCCGCTCCTGAAAGCGATTGCTTGAGCCTTTATAATTCTCGCACGCATCCAGCAAGGTGAAAAACAAAAACAATGCCATCCAAAATCGGATTATCAGCTTTGACAAGCGACGCAAAAAAAAAAACCAAAAACCCAATAAACAAACCAGCCATGAATAAGAGAACACTCTTGATAGCAGCTGTATTTCATTTTGCACATCCAGTGGAAAAAGACAGTTAAAAACATCACAAGTTGACTCAAAACTCGCCAGCTTCAGCTGTCAAAGTAAACAACTTTCAAGATGCTGCATAAATTTTACGCATGAACTCACCAGTCAAATTTTAAACAATCAGAACATAAATATTGGACGTGGAACGTGACCAACACGTGACCATAGTAAGAAAAGGTCTTCTCCGCCTGTATTTTAAAAAAACTGGCTGAATTTTTGCGTCTGAAGTCAGTTTGAAATCAAACTCGTAATAGTGCGGGGCGATACTGACATAAACACAACATATTTGATATGAACTTAAAACAAAAGTAAACGTGAGCCTGCGGTCATTTGAAAACGAGTAAATTGTCAGCGGATAACTTCAAAAAAATACTCAACCTTGATGGGTCGACACCTGAGCCCGCGATTCGGTCAGGTGATAGTGGTCAGCGGATACCCTGTTTTGACAGCTGTCAATTGATGACAATATTGGTGTGCAATCAGCTTTCTCCCGGGCTCCCAAAGTAGCTAGAAAGTGTGAGTAAACATTGGTATGCCTGTGGTGCGGACGGACAGTCGGTCGGTCGGTCACGTGATTACCAAATTTTCTGGGATGGGTAGATTTCCTTAGCTATGGGGCTCCGCCTACGCGCGAAGCGCGCGCGTGGAGCTCCGCTATTATTTTAGACTTTTAGTTTTATATTTATTGACGTACATCTCATTTTTTAGAACTTTTATCATTTTTGAAACTTGTATCATGTAAATTTTTAAACTTTAAACTTGAACATAATAGTTTCTATTAATGATATTAGTAAACGAGGACCCCGTAAATCACTGGTTTAAGTGAAGCTGGCATCCTCAATAAACATTATCATCACTCACTCAAGCAAAGAATTGTGGATTTTGTTTTCAAGGTCATCACTTATGGATCATCAGTGGCAGTAAGTCACTTCTTAAGGCCTCTGTTTCTACAACAGCATTGGTGGTTTTAAACAGAGCCTCAAAAAAGCAGTTGCAAACTTTCAGCCTTTACAAACTAAAGAAACTGTCCATTGGGATTTCTTAGCATTTTGGTATAGCGAGGAGGGATAGATAACCGAAAAACCTCCTGGTTAATTTTCAGGAACTTATTTGGTTTCCCAGGTGGGACAGATACTTTGGGAGAAGAAGGAGCAAGTGCCAACACCGTATGGGACACAGTTTTGGCGGCACAGTGAGTATCCTCCTGTAAACCAGTGTCTCCAAGGTGATGCAAAGTCTGAAAAAGAAGCGGTGATTGTTGCCCTTCAAAAATTCCACAATAATTGTCTATTATTTTAAAAAAACTTTCAA